ACGAAAATCGGATGCAGTGTGAATCCAGCAAATGTTTTAAGATGCTAATACGGCTCTCTGATTGGTTTAAGCACTAGTTTAAGACCATCTCGAGTCTTGAGCAACGTCTATGGATTCCTAGATAACAAAGATGCGACATTGAGCGGGTTGGGCTAGGTAACTGTCGCCATTTAATTTCGGTATAAGTGCTTATAACCTTAAAGTTGATATTTTGACAAGAAAAAGATTAACTTGCTGTGAAAAGAAAAAAGTAATCATTTCCCATAAACAAAAGTTATTAAAACATTTTTTTATCTTAGGATTTTTAGGAATAGGATGAAAGAAGTAAATTTTCATTTGTGCGATACTTTTTTTCTTTATATACATTTACGCATCTATATATACAGCATCTTCTACAAAAGAATCCTCTTTAAAGATTTATAAATTCAATATAGTGCTTCAAGAAAGATTATTTAAATTAAATTTGATATATTAAATGTTTATACAAATAGAAATACTTACACCATGATAATAGCTTATTTATATTGCATTGTATTCGACTATATTGGACTTATAATATTTTGTTAAATTTTAAGTGCGTTCGCTTCAATGTGCTTTAGTGCTTATATAAACATCATTTGTACTTGTTTAATATTTGATAAACAAATATGAAATGATGCTTATAGAGTGTAAGGGCGGTATTCATAGTCAGATATTCAAGTCTTAAGTACAGTCTTAAGAAGTCATGTACCAATCAGAAGGCCGTATTAGCAACTTAAGACATTACTTAAGACGGTCTTAAAATAAGAACCGACTATGAATACCGGCTTTAAGAGTGCACACTGTACAGCGAACGCACCTGTTATATGTGCAGTACCGAAATTAAATGACATCTAATCACGTAATTTAAGGTGCGGTGCACTTGGAGATATAAACACTTCGAAGCGTTTGATTGACCAATCGGAAGAAAGAATTTTACTAATTGACCAATCAAAAAATACTCGAAGCATTTGTAGCATCAAGTGGACCGTAGCCTTATATTATTTTCGATTGGGGTGCACTGGCTGCACTCAGTGTCAAGAGCGTGTTCGATTGGCAGTGCCAATGCGCACTTGGCTAGTGTCACGTGTTCATTTGATCGCACGACACTCGCGTAGTGCGCACTCAGTGCGCACTAAGTGGCACGAGATATTTTGACGGTGTCACTTTAGTGCACTAGATACATATATAGGATATCAGTGCATCGTTTTGTATAAGTATAAAAGGATATATAATAGGAACAAGCACACACAAATCTGTAATTTATAGCATGCAAATGTGTACAATTATTGATAAGTTTGTATATATATGATATTCTTGATATCTTATATATTATTTAATTACATATAGTAAAAAATCATTACTTAAAGTTTTGAGCATGAGATGTCGAAATTATTTTTCTGCGTTCTTCCTGCAGTCTAATCAAGTCCTTACAATCTTACAACTCGAAATGGCATTTCAGCTTTAGCACTGAAAATCTTGGCGTGTTCTTTTAAACTTGCATTATTCAGTGCAACTCATGGAACTCGTACAGTGTTGGTGTGAACTGAGTGCGCACTGGTGTGCATTAACTTTTTCCCAATCGAAAACGCTATTAGACAGCCAATCAGGTCTATCCCCTCCAATGTCGTATCTCTGTTATCTAGAATTCTAGTTCCAGTTCATGTGTACTAGAATGGATGCTTTTTGATAGGTTGAGGGCCACTGTCACCAAGCTCAATTGATCTAATTAGGCCAGTTAGTCCATCGGAATTGACCAATCGCATTTGTCATTTTGTTTGAAGAATTGACAGATTGGTCAATTCCGATGGATTAATTGGCCCAGTTAAGTTAACTGAGCTTGGTGACAGTGGCCCTGAAATTCGTTTTTTCTGTTCCTATTGGCTACGTTCAGCAGAACGTTTGTTTTGCAACTGTTGGAAATTTCCTTCGCGCTAATTGGATCATACTTTTAGATCTAGAAGAATGGTCCTATCTCAGCAGACAATCATAAAACGGTTGTAAAACTGTTGAGTCTGCTGAACGCAGCCATTGGTTGCGTTCAGCAGACTCAACAGTTTTACAACCGTTTTATGATTGTCTGCTGAGATAGGACCATTCTTCTAGATCTAAAAGTATGATCCAATTAGCGCGAAGGAAATTTCCAACAGTTGCAAAACAAACGTTCTGCTGAACGCAGCCATTGCCTGTGCTTTCTTCCGACGTACAGCGCTCTGTTCCGCAGCCGGAAATTGGCCCAACTTTTTCGTTTGGTCTCCTTCTTTTTACTCCGTGTTCTCAGGTTTCTCTCTGCAATTGGTAAGCTTGTTTATTACAGTTTTTTTTATCTACTACGCGGGCGACATTAAATTATTTCATTAGCAGAATTCTCTTTTAAATTATGTTCGAGAGTGACGATTGGATTTTTGAAGTGAGTCTTTTATTATACGGTTAGAACTTATCTGATTAATCTGTTTAATGTGCTTTCGCTTTGTTATTTTATCAGCGCACGGGCAGACAACCAGTAGTTGGAATTTGTAAAACGGTAAAATTAACATATATCTCATGTTTTATATTGTAGGATACTTTTGATGATGTTGGAGGAAATGAGGAGGAAACAAAGAAGAAATCCTATTCTCCGTGTCAAAACAAAGAAAAGACACCGTCCGTCAAACGACGTAAAGTGGACAGTTGTGAGGTACTGCTGGCACATAATACCTTTAGTCAGAAATCAAAATTGGATACTATAGCAAATATCCAAGATAACGATCTACCGTCCAAGAATAAGAACGATGTACCACGAGGGAATTTGTTGTTAGAAATTTTCCAGAAAAATACTTGTCGAGAGACATTTGATCTTGCAAAAGATGTAGAGAAAGATCCATCAGGGATACAAGAAGAAACGCAATGTTTTCAATCTGAAATAGCTGCAACGTCAAAAGTATTCCAACATAAAGAGTCCAAAGGAAAATAAAGTAAGATTCGATAAAGAAGTAAAATTGATTAGACTATTTCCTGGGCCAGCTGGCTTAGTATCGGATGTGAAAAGTAATAACATCTCTGCTGCATCTTATTTAAATAGTGTTGAAGAATTAAAAAATAAAACGTCAACCAAGCGTAGACTTGAGATCAAGTCTCAAGATGAGAAAAACTCGTGTGGAGAAAAAGCTTGGAAACTTTTATTGAACGACCTGCCAAATAATTTTTTACAGGATTATAAGATTTCTACTGTTAAAGACAAAGCAAATGCTAATCACTGTGATAGTACGAGAGTAAAGTTTATAGCAGGTATATTAGATTATGTTGATTATAGTCACGACGATCCATTCGTTATACTAAAAGATTCAACAGGTAGCATAGAAGGTACTATTCATCGTGACATTCCATCAACTTATCCTGGCATATTAGAGCCAAATATAGTTATTTTTTTATGTGATGTAGGACTATTAAAAACTACGACATATGTAGTAACAAACAAATATCATATTCTAGTGTCTCTAGTAAATTTATTAGCTATATATTCAGATAAAGGCCGAATTGTAAGTACACCTCTTATGGAAAATGTTATATCTAATACTTTAAATAGTGAATTGAATAGAATTAACAATTGTATGTCAATTTTGGAGAAATCGGATCATATCTCTGGACTGCAAGAAATGGATGAAAGTTGTAAGGCTTTTTTACAAACTATCAGTTCTGTCGACTATCAAGGATCTATCAAGGATCATGAATCTGAATTAGCAAAAAATCTACTGTTACATCCGACAAATGGGAAGTACGAAAGTCCTGAGAAAATTTTTAAGAATGATAAAGATTGCAAAGTTACCAATGAAATACATAAATATCTCGACCATTCGATGGATATGAATGATTTGGATATGAACGTTTTTTTTACTACCGACTGCAACTTTACAAGTTTGGAAGACCAGAATTGTCGCGATCATTTGCTACCAAGTATTTCGCAAACTAGCAAAATTCAGCGATGCAACTCGCAAATGCAAAATACCAAGTACTTGGAAAATACGAAAAAAAAATTGACCATAACTTATCCAAAGCAGACAAAAGAACAACACTTGCCACAAACTTTAATAAAGAAATACACCGATGTAAAAATTTGTGACACACATTACTCGCGTGAAAATTGTTTCTCGTCTTGCAACGAAGCATTATGTAGAGATTCGAATTTAAATGTGAAATTCACATTGCCAGCAATAAAACGTAACGTCGAAAACTCAAAAACTCTGGTAAGCTATTTTACTGACGATAAGTATGACGCGTATGATTCGGACGATGAGATTTTGTCACAGTTGGATGTAGATAACATCGTTGACAAACGAAAGGAAGACGGCTAAGAAGAACCGTGTATTTCTCTCTCTCTCTCTCTCTCTCTCTCTCCCCCTCTCTTTCTATCAACATAAATTAAATGTACCAACATATAATGCGTCGTG